TAATTGCTCGATATTTCAATTTGTGTTATAGACACGCAAACAAGTTTCAAATAAAAGTTACATGGATTTGAAAAAGACATATTTTAAAAATATTTTTGAATATACGTTTTTGCCTGGCAAATAAAAATTCAATAATAATATTCAACCCTAGAATGTTGCAACCGCATCATTCTGAAATTTCACAAAATAATTAATTGCTTGGCAACCCTGAAATATTCAAAAATATTTTAGCGTTGAGTACAGTATTACTAGATTATTCTAAAACTGAAATATCCAAAAATATTTTTAAAATATTCTTTTTTAAAATCCCTATAACTCTTATTTGAAACTAGTTTGTGTGTCTAACAACACAAATTGATTTATTGAGCAATTACGCACTAATGGGACACCTTGTATGTAAGCTCGTCTGTTTTTTTCTGATTTGTTTGAAGGAAAATATATTATCTCTGCCTTCCTAAATCCACTCTGTGCTTCTTCAAGTTGAATTTCAGTCTTTAATTATAGATTTTTCTCAAAAATTCTTTCGTATATATTTAGCATGGTACTCAGTAATGTAATTCTTCTGTAATTTTTGCATTCTTTATTGGCCCAATTTCTGTAACGAGGTAATAATATACCCACTTCCCAGTCTTCAGATATTTTGTTCATTCCATATCTTATTAAATAATATTTTTAAAATCTCCATCCCATTTTCATCCATGTTTTTCACCATGTCTGTTGTTATTCCATCATTTCCTGCTGGTCTACCTCTTTTTAGCATGTTTATTGCTTCTATTATTTCTTCTGTCGTTATTTCATCTTGGTCTGTAGTTTCACTGTTTTCTGTGCTGTGTATGTCATTTTCCACAACCATTTTCCATTATTTCTGTATTGAGTAATTCCTTAAAATATTCTTTCCATCGCAACATATTATGTCTTTATCATCTATTTATTTTAATATTTCATAAAACAGTTTTTGATTTTTTATGAATATTTAAAATAAGTAAATAAGTTATGAGTATTCTAACATTTATAAAATTAAAAAAAAATATCGATAAATGTATTTATTTCAGATAGTGCTGGGTATTGTCAACCCAGCAAAATTAGGTCCTATACAGTCCATAGGAATAGGATGGAACTTTCAATTTCAATACGCAGCACCCATAAATGCGTCTCAATTAATATCTTATCCCCCCATATATACAGGAAAAAGATCCGTAAATGATCAACCACCACACGAGGTTGTTCTTAAAAATGACAGATCGATCTTCTATAAACTACTTGAAGAAACTTTAGACAGGTAAATAGCAATAATTAAAAATCGAAAATATTGCTAACTAATAACTATCTTTTTTATGACCGTCAATATTCCAGTGGCATAGTAAATTTAAGTGTCATCTATAAAAACTATAAATAGCATTAAGTGGGTTTCAGTTTGAGATTCAAACAAAATTTATTTGCTCATTTATAAATAATGCGATAATGCCTATTTTGGCCTTTGTAAATCTTACTTTTTAGATGGCTTAAAAAAGTTGGCGAAACGTTTGGAAAAGTGTATAGAGCTAAAAAGAGATTATGTTGAAAAATAAAATCTAACTAAAATAATTTGTTTTTCTATCTTTCTCTAAGGACTTCTTGAACGACCCTCGTACTTAGTACCGATCAGTTGTTTATAATCTCTGAAAGTCATTTACAATAATCGTAGAATAAATTTAGATAATCCAAAATCCATTTGAGAAATGCTGACTATCAAATCAAGAAATATGTTTGTTCTTGTCTAAGTTGTTAATTATTAATTAATTTGTTTTGATAAAGATAATTATTATATAATCTTGTTTTTATTTAGCGAAGGTTTACATGGACGAGAATGTTTGCTAAGAAGTATTTGCGAAAATGCCATGGATTCGTTTATTCGCGATGAAAATGGATTGTATGGACGAATATTTCATATAATTTTAACGTAAGCTGTTTATTAGTTATTCCTAAAATATTTTAAAAACAACTTTATCCAACATATTCCTCCTTCGCTAGTAGTAAATTTTATCAAAAAATAATGTAATTAAAATTAAAAAAAAAAAGAGAAAACGAAAATAATTCAAATATCACCAAGACGTAAAAAAAATAACAAGAAATCTCAAAGTCATGTGTCACAAAATATAATCACTGCAGTATATAAATATGAAACATCAGAAGGAACCCTATTAAATGATACTGTAAAAGAATTATTGAAATAATCTGCTAATGTATTAACAATATCGTATGGTGTTTTAAGAATATACTATACATGGTGTTTTACTTAATGATAGGCCGTAATTCCAAGGGCGCATTTCTGAACCAAGTTCAAGTAGAAAAGTTCATAAAAACATGTGTCCTGAAAAGTTAAAGTTTTTAAGAAAAATAGGTTTTTTATTAATATCTCAAAGATCCTTTTGTCGATTTTGTTGAACTTTGGTAGTGTTCTACATTTGATAAGATATTACGTTAACACTAATTAGATGATAAATATGAGTTCCAGTGGCGTCGCGAAGTCAGTCTCACGAATATTGATCCAAAAATATACCCAACTGACTTTTTTTTTATTTTTTCGCATTAGGCAGAAAAAAACAATTTTTTTTGTCTAGTGTAATTTTTTCGTATCTTACTTTGTTTTCGAGGAAAAAAATAAAAACCACTTTATTCCATGTCGAAAAATTGTTTTTAAATAAAATCAAGTTAATTTTAATCGTCGCACAATAATTATTTATAAACCAGTTTTTAAAAAGTCTAATAAATCAAAAATAATAATTTAACAGAATATTCACAGCAATAACCACCTCCCGCTTCTGGAGGCTTCTTCTTATAAATAAAAATCTAGGCTGTTCAAATCAGGCGATCTAGATGGCCAGAATTGTGGTCCTCCACGACCTATTCAACGATTTTGGTAAGCTCCATTTAAATACTCATGCTGAAGTGGCTGGGCCACCATCATGTATGAACCAATTTTGTTGCCGTAACTGAAGAAGAACATCTTCAAGAAGTAAAGGCAAATCATTTTGTAGAAAATTACTGTAAGACTGTCCGTTAAGTCGTCCTGGAAAAATAAATGGTCCAATCAAATAGTCACCTATGATATCGATTCAAACGTTGAGAGAAAACTGTTCCTGCAAATGGGTTTATGTAATAGCATGAGAATTTTCTTGACTCCAGATATGTTTATTATGAAAATTAATTATTGCTTTTCTGGAGAAAATGCTCTTCGTCCGTAAACATAATGATAAAATCAAAGTCTTTGAAGATACATCTAGAAAATTGCGTACGCGGATCATAATCTCTTGGAAGAAGTTCCTGAACTCTTGTACGTGGTAGAGAATGTGTTAAAATTTCCCATACCATTTTATAGCAAATATTTAATTTCCTACCAATTTTTCGCGTACAGTTGCTGGATTCTCTTCGACTGCAAGTAGGACAGCGGCAGTTGAACCGCAATTCGAATTGTACGAGGTCTTCCCCTGGAGGTATTACGTTTGAAACTGCCAGATTCAGTCAGACGACGATGAATGTTTAAGAATATTTTTCTGCCTGGAAGGGCACGATCAAGATACCTTTCTTAATGGTCGCCGGGCCTCCACGGAATTACCATTGGCAAGACCATAAAGGAAATTCGTTTGTGTCATCTCCAAATTACCATTTACCATTTTTTTTAATAGCACAATCTACCTTTTGACCAGATAAAAAATAATAACAACCTGTTACGGAAAGTTAGAACACATTATGTTCATAACAACAAAATAACATTTTCTAGCAAAGATTAAAGTTAACTTGATCTTATATCGTTAATTTTAATAATTTTTCGATATCTAATAAAGTGTTTTTTATTTTTTCCTCAAAAACGAAGTAAGATACGAAAAAATATTAAGAAACAAAAAAGTTGTATTTTTAGCTACTCGAAACAAAAATACAACATTTTAAAAAAGCCAGTGGCGTACCTTTTTGTCAATATTATTCATAAGATTGCCATCCGCGACTTCACTGGAATTCATAATTATCTTCTAGTTAGTGGTAACTTAGCGTCTTATCACAATGAAAAACACTAGCAAATTTCAACAAAATCGACAAAAGGATCTTTGAGATATTAATAAAAAAAACTATTTTTTTGAATCTTTGACACCCTGTATCTTGAAAACCACTTTTTAGGACACATGTTTATATGAACTTTTCTACTTTAACTTGGTTCAGGAATGCGCCTTTGGAATAACAGCTTATCATTAAGTAACACCCTGTATTATCACCAACTTTAAATGTACCCTTTTTGCCATTAACAAAAGCCCAAAATTTATTCGAATTTTCTTTAATCTCATGCTGCATTCTGTTATTCCAAGAAATAGTTGTTTCCAGAGGGAAACGGTCACTCGTATTATTTTGCGATAGATGGCTTTGATATTTTCTTGTTTATATTAATACTTTCTATCTATTATATTGAAGCTAAACAAGGTAATCTGTCCATTTTATTTTAACTGTTTATTCTAATATCAATTATTTTTAGTCCCAGTTTTGGAGATGGCGAAATAGATCCAGAATTGGACCCAATATATTTGGAAGCTCAGAATGCTGGTGAATATGGTGTAGAATGTGAAACCTTATATACCAAATGCGAACTTGAAAATGGATTTTTAGATCTATTTTCTACTGTAATATCACAGCTTGGATAAATAAAAAAATATCTATTCGAAAGTGTTTGCTTATTTGTACCTATTTTGATTAAAAACAAATATTTAGTGCCTAAATATGAAGACAAATACACGATTTTAGATATCCCAATAATTTTTGGTAATAATTTCACACTTTTCGTTATTCTGAACTGTTTTATTCCATCATTGTGAGGGGATGGCTCCATGACAATGCATTGAACCAGTTGAATATTGTTTAAATATGTTTAAAATTACCAGTACTTAATAGTTATAAAAAGAATTTATTCCAAAACTGGTGATTTTGATAATATGTAGTACAATTATTTCATATAGAATAAAAAAGTAAAAACTTACCTCCCAGTATTTTGATTTATGTACACCACTGGCATAAGCTTTTGCAAACTTACTCTCGCTGTTAAGTACTGTTATAGCTGCCGAGAGCTGGGACATTGGATGCACCGATGTGGGTAGATTGTTGAGGACGTGTACAACATGGGAAGGCAATTCTGCACGTTCGGCCCATTCCTTAGAAATGGCTTTAACTTGAGCTTCGGTGGGTACGTCTCCGGTCATCAGGAGCCAAAACAGACCTTCCGGCAATGGTTCTTGGCCGCCCGGCGCCTTTGGTAAAACTTTTTGACATTCTGGAATGGATAGACCGCGAAATCGGATACCTTCGTCGGCGTCGAGTACGGAAGTTTCGCAAACCAAGGCTTTGATACCCCTCATGCCACCATACATCTGAAACAAAATATCGGTACATTTTGCAAGTCTTCAACCAAAATATTTTATACTGGAGATCATTTCCGAAACGTTTGACTTTAGATCCAGACTGTTGCATATCTATAAACTCGTCTTTGTATAACTTACCATATCAACGGTAACTTCTCCAACTTTGTCATTACCATGTGTTTTACGGAAGTTTTTGACCCGTTCTTGTTCCTTTGGTACTTTTGCTGCAAGAACAGCTTTGAGATCTGTGGACGCATCACTGAGCTGTCTGAGGATAATAGATACTTGTGATGTTAGTTTCTGTAAATAAAATAAAACCGTTAATAGCAATAGAAGCGGTAGCTGATTTCGACTTAACAGTATTCACCGATAAATCAAAATATCAAATAGTTCAAACGAAATTTCATGTTTGTTGATTATTTTTTTATGAATTTATTCAACAATAGTAAAAAAATAACTTGTTGGTAGAATATAAAGTGTACCAGAAATTGTATACAAGTGACCTCATACTTGATAATTATGTAACTATCAGGTATAATGTCAAGTATGAAAAAAATAATGCACGTGTACTACTGCATAATAATATCAAGTTATGTATAATGTAGTCTTATAAAAACGGTATTTCAAATAAATGTACTTAGTAGTTTAGAAAATAAACAAGCAAAATTGTAAAATAATATAGGAATATTTAAATTTCAAATATTCTTACAATTTTGTCAACTGAATTATTAAGTTTTATTGTTTCAAATTTTAATTTAAACATATTTAATGTAAAAAAATCAATTTCACATAATATTGATTGATAACAAATAGATAAAAGTGCGACTAGTTTCAGCCTATAAGGCCATCTTTAGGCAATGATTAATATAACAAATTTATAAACATCATATTATTTTATGTCATACCAATATGTTTACTATTTATAATATTACAACTGTTACTTCCTCTTAAATAGAAGAAAGGGGTAAAGGGAAATATTTCGATAGAATTAGTAGATGTCGCGGACAGGATGAAAACATGTGTAAGTAAAAATATAATAAGTATTTAATAAAACGGTCTAAAAAAATGTAAAAAGTGATTATATATTGTGCACGTTGAAAACATATATCCGATTAAAGATATAGTAAATATTTAATAAAAAATAACATAAAAATTGATTAGACACGGGATATTTCGTCCGGAAATCTCTCATACGAAATTTGTCCCAAAAAAAAAATGGCGCCCGACAAAAAATCCGTGTGCGTGGTGAGTTAGAGAAGGGCAAAGGGTGTTCAGAAACAATAATAAAAAATTATTTGTTTTTAATAAACCGTCGAAAAACGATAAAGAAATTTTCAAAACGTCATAGACAAAAAATTCCTTCTTATTAGTCCCCTCGCATGTCTTGAGCGTCTACCGTTAACGCATACTCCCTTCCACCCTGCACCCAATTCTCACAAAAGGGACACGGTGGATTTTTGCACGATTTTTCGTGGATTTTAGCGGTTGCCATGGAAACCGACGGTACGATTTTTTAAAGTCGCCCGGAAACTAATACGAAATTGGTCCGAAAAAAATGGCGCCCGACGAAAAATTTGTGTGCGTGGTGAGGTAGAGAGAGGAAAAGGGTGTTTAGGAAAAATATTAGAACTTGACCAAAAGAATCATTGAAATCGGAAAACATGGCAAAGAACTGTCGCTGAACATACATAAAAACATATATTCGGACGAATTGAGAACCACCTTTTTTTTAAGTCTGTTTAAAAGAATGTTTGAGAAAGAATAAACAACGAAAAAAGGAAAACTTGTTTTAATTATATGCGATTTTTTAAGTTGACAATATAGATATACTAATGTATTATACATTAGTGCGTAATTGTGCAATATTTCAATTTGTGTTATAGACGCGGAAACAAGTTTCAAATAAAAAATAAGAATTTAAAAAATACGTATTTTTTATGAAATTAGAGAACTAGGCAGTCCCCAACATAAATTATCATAATTTCGGCAGGTTTACATTAATTTCAAAATTGTTTAGTGTACAAATTTACAAGATACTAAGCTAACGAATAGTGATGATAGAACCGGTTTATTTTATACAGAGTGTTTTGAAACATGTCTTAAATATGGCTAATTTAAAGTTTAATTTACTCAATTTTTTCAAATTAACACTGTATATTATTTTAGCATTAAATCTTATAAATTACCTAACCAACAATACCAACACGTTAGTCAATAACCCATACAGGGTGTTACATCAGTGCGTAATTGATCGATAGCTGTTTTATTATTATAAATACGAATAAATTTTTATTATAAAAGTTGTATGACCATAGTTAACAATTATTCTTAAATATACAGGGTGGTTCATAAACGAGGAGCTAACCAAATCTATATTTTTTTAAAGCAAAACGCCCTTGCAGTTAGTTATACATATTTTATTGTTTTCACATCGTCAAACAATTTTAATAGACTTCAGTTATTTGTTATGTTGTATATAGGGTGTGTTAAAATGCGGGGTAACGATTTTCTCAATTTTTAAATGGAATACCCTATATGTTATACCACCAAGTAATTAATATATAGGGTGTTGCATTTGAAAAAATTGAGTAAATTGAATTTAAAATTAGCTACAATTAAGACATGTTTCAAAACACTTAGTATAAAATAAACCAGTTATATCACCACTATTCGTTAGCTTAGTATCAACGTAAACCTACCTAAATTATGATAATTTAATTTGGTCTGCATCATTCTCAAATTTCAAAAAAAATTAATTGCTTGGCAACACTGTAATATTTTTTAAAAACATTTTAGGGTTGAATACAGTATTACCAAACAATTCTAAAAATAAAATAAAATACAGGGTGTTCTATTTAAAAAAAACATACATTTTTATTTGCCAGGAAAAAACGCAACACCTTGTATACTCGAAAATATTTTTAAAATATGGATTTAAAAAATACTTTTATTTAAAACTTGTTTGCGTATCTATAAGACAAATTGAAATATTGAACAATTACGCACCAATGGGACACCCTAGTTCAATGTGTGAAAAATAAGTTTGTGGTTGATTTTTGAATATAAAAGCTAATTCGAAATAAGAAACTTCTTCAAAACTTGTTAAAAACCGGTATAATAAAGTACCAACAACAGTGGTATCTAGAAATCGCTTGAAATTATTTTAAAATTGCTAGATTCGCTGCAAGAGGACGTAATACTCATGTCCAAAGTTTTTTTGCAAAATAGTTTACTAAGTGTAGATGGCGATACTCGCCATGAAGGCGATTCCATTAGAGATTAGAATCAATAATGTCTAGTTCTTGTTGATGAGTCCTAATAAAGACTAAACTGGTCCAAGAAGATAGTATTGAAAATATTAATCAACCCCTAATATTTTTCTTTTGATGTAATTAAATGCCTGCTGCGGTATTAGCCACAGGAGCAATTGTTTTCAGGAGGAAAACGTTTATGTAACACAGTCTTCAAATTTTTCAATTATTTAACTGGTTTTGAATTAATCTGCAATATACTAACGCTTTTGTAGTACCTTAAAGAGTGAACTGTGGGTTTTCTTAATTTTAAAACTAATCGATATTTTATTTAAAATTTGAGAAAATGTGCTTCTTACTAAGACACACCCACATTTTTTATTATTTAGTTCGAACTCAAGAAGACAAACATAATATAAATATAAGTACATAGGTATATATTTTTATCTTACAGAGTAAATAAGATTGAATTGACATAGATTATTATATCTTTGAGATAAGTCCATTGAATTAAATAATTAATTAAATTAAACAATAAATTGTAATGACGTGAAATTATGAACTAAGTGTCTACATGGTGTCTAGTACAAAATACAGGGTGTTATTAAGTTCCTTGTACATATTAAAAGTAACAAGAGTGAATGGTGTCAGCCATTATACAAAAAATTACAGAGGTATGATACTTAGCCAACGAAATCTCGTCGAGTTCGTGCATGATGTATTGTGGTGTGGAATATGGTTATTTGATTGGCCATGAGTAGATTAAAATTTATTTTCGCGCGCTGTTTTCGATCAACTGATTCGTAAAACCCACGCCTTCCTCCAAAATATGTCACGTGACGTATAGTATTAATCTGCGTAATAGCATACCTTCTTTTTATAGTATCATGGGTGTCAGAGAAAAATAAATCTGCAACATGATGTAAAGCAAGGGCGTTCCAGGGGTGGGGCATACCCTCCCCCCGCGGTTAAAATTATTACAATACATGAACCTTTTATTTAAAAGATGCTAAGAAGGGAATTATTATGGCAATGCGGAACCAAAAACCGAATTGCTCTCAAACCGTTTGAATGGCTCTCAAATAAGAGTATTGCCCTTGCAATCATTTTGTATTCAGTGCTTCTACCTTATTCAATTTTTTCGCCTGTCAAATTAATAACGAAGCACTTGATTAAGTTGTCATTATTTTAGCAATGTAACAATCTTTCAATGATGACACAAAATACTCGTACAAAGTGATGTATTTAAAACCCAAAATGGCTAAAAATATTATAAAAACGGTAAATCTGGTAACTTTTCAAATGTTATTTTTTATTATTTAGATCCCTACCAAATACTATTAGTCAGAGAAAAAGGAATTAAACATTTATTTAGACCAAACTAATTTCAAAATAACATGTTTATGTGCTCTTAAGTACAAATAAAAAGATCGATGATAGTTAAAAATAAACTAGAAAAACTAAATTTATAAACGAGTTGACATTTTCACGAAAAACAAGTCAACGAATAAATAATAAATTAATTTGATAAACTTTTAAAAATATTGCACGAGATAGACAAACGAAACTGCATAAAAGTGGAACTGGAATTTAAATAGAAATTAGTTGACGAGTAAAGAAAAATTTTGAAAATAAATTAAAAAACAATTAAGTTATCCTAGAATAAGAGTTTGGAGCAAAGGTTATTTATAAATCTAGAAAAAGTATTTTTAATATATACTAACGACTACTGTTCAAAATTATCGCATCACTCAGAAAGAACTTCCAGTGGGTAAATCTAAAGATACTTTGTAAATTAGGTTATGTGTTATGGAATGGAATAGAAACCAAAAATGTATAAAATAAAATATTAAAAAACAATTAATGCTCAAAGTGGGCACTATTTTCTGCGTCCTTTTAGTAAGATTTCTTACTAATCCTTAAATACCATACCACAAACCTAAACAATACATAGAAACTTCTTTATGTTATGTTATTATTGAAACTCAGGAGCACTGCAAGGTTAGGTCCTTGGTGCCCCGCCCTTCATTATGAAAAATACAAACAAAC